TGTACCTGTGTAATGAGTTTTGAAATGGGAACAAATACCCCAGCATTTTCTTCTTGTTCAGAATTGCATTGATTGCTATTGCTCCTTGTGTTTTATGTGCCTTTAGGAGTCGGTTTATCAATTCTGTTTTGTGAAATTAATGGCTGCTGGATTTTTATAGGCATTAACCTAGAATTGGTCAATTTGAGGAGTCTTTCTTTTTCCTTCCGCTCCCTCTCTTTCTTCTTTCTTTCTTTCTTTCTTTCTTTCTTTCTTTATTCCTTCCTTTATTTTATTTTTTATTTATTCTTCTTTTCATACAGTACATCCCAACCTCAGCTTCCCCTCCTTTTACTCCTCCTAGTTCCCCCTGCTTGAGGAGTATTTCAACCTTCACAATATTGTCTTCAATCCACAGCCATGAGATGCCTCCCCCTGTGTTTGCGTTGCCACTGAGGTGTTTCTGAGCTGTTTCCTAGTTTTTGATATACATGTGTGTGCTTCTTAAGTCATTCCTGAATGCATTACTTTTCCACAGGAATGGTTTTTGTGGTTAGACTTGAATTTTTCTTAATCTCATTTTGAAATATGCATTAGACACACAAAGAAATGCAGTTGATTCTGTGCAATACCTTATATCTTATCTCTAGTCTTACCAAGTCTGCCTTTAGCTCTCTGTAGCATGAACACGAGAGAATGTGTAATGTGCTGTGACTTAGAAAACTTGCTCTTCTCTCTGCAGGAATGGTAGCTCTAGTGTACATCAATGAAGCCATCGATGAAGGGAACCCTCTGAAGACGTTAGATACCTTGTTGCTACCCACTGCTAATATCAGAGATGTGGACCCAGACCATGCCCAGCACTACCAGGATGTTTTATTCCATACAAAATCCCAGAAAGTCCTGGTAAGTTTTAGAATGTCTATTTGTGAGAGGGAAGACTTTTGATCCATTTGTCATAAATCTTACAAGCTTCTTATCCAAGTGAATGAGAATGAAAACATTAATGCCAAGCATTAAAGAGAAATCTAGACCCAGAGTGATTGCCTCTGCTCCTACCACTCAGTTGTAGGTGAATTCTTATCCAGAGTGCAGTTCCTTGGGCATTTCCAGTGTACCTATGTTGTGCACAGCATCTGGGTTGGGGTGGGGGTTGTAGAGGGCACATGATGCTATTTGAAAGTTCTCTGTCCTTGTGGTCAAGATGGTCAGGAACTTACTGAAGCAGTCACTGTTTCAAAGGGAGTGGTAGGAGAGCAGGAGAGAATAAGGGTTGAGATATTGTGCCCAGAATCTTAAGAGAAGTTGCCTTGGAGATAGAACAGGATCTGTGCCTAAAGGAGAGAGAAGAGGTGGTTGGGCGGGTGGGTAAGGGATTTGGCATGGTATGGGCAGTGCTTGATAGATACCTTTATGCTCTGCTCTGGGCATGGGAGGGGACTTGAAGAACAGTGATGTTATTTACAGCTGGACTTACATGGAGGGGGTCCCAGAAAGTCTTAATGCTCTTGGAAAGATACTGGACTGAGTGTTGAGACTTATAGGACCTATTGCCCAAGAGTGGAAGTGATGCTACCTGGAACAATAGCCATCCATTTCTGTCATCCACATTCTTAGGTGCAAACCCAGCTGGAAGGAATGGGTAACTCCCCTGTATACACCTTCAGAGCTCAGGATCTGCTTCCTCCGAAGCAGGGAAAATACTCTGGTTAGAGCACGTGTGTACTGAGCATCTCCTGTTGCAGGCATGACAGTGGTAGTTAAGCATCTCCCGTTTAATTCTCATAATAGCCCTGAATCATTTCATCATCACCATGAGGCTTGAGATAATGAACTAGGAGTTAAATAACTGTCTATAGCAGACAGCAAAATAACAGCATTGAGAGAGAAAGTTGCTTGCTTTGGAGACAGGCAGGCACCGTGCAGATCCTAGCTGTGTGGCCTCAGTCAAACTGCTGTATCTCCATATGCTCATTTTCACATGCATCAAATTAGAATAACACCTGCCCTGAAGTATTATAATGAGAGGTAAACAAGAATATGAGATACGTAAACGTGTTCTTATATCACAGTATATTAATGATATTACAAATATATGCATTTGTGTTTAATTTTTAAGATTTCTTTTTAATTACATGCATCTTGTGTGTTGATATGAGTACATGAGTGCAGAGAATGTACTTGGAGATCAGAGGTGTTAGATACCCTGGAACTGGAGTTGCAGATAATTGTGAGCAGCCTGATGTGGGTGCTGGGAACCCAACCAACTCTGGCCTTCCTGAAGAGCAGCCAGGGCTTTTAACTGCTTAGCCATCTCTCCAATCCCGAGTGTGTGGTTTTTGTGTGTATGTGTGTATCTATAGCATTTACTGCGAATTCCAACACCCAAACAAACAGCAGCCTATTTGAGTATTATTGAAGCCTCCTGTGGTTGCTTCCCTGCCCTATTTGAAAGGTGATTCATTCTGGGACTATGACTGTGTGCAACTGACTGGGAAACACATACAATGGGTGTTAAAACAGGTCCTTACAACAAGGAAAGACCAAAAATGACCTTAATAGATTAGTTTTCCTTGGCACTGCTGGGGATCGAACCTACTAGGCATATGTCCTTCTACTAAGATGTGTCCCCAGCCACATCCATAATTTTTTTTCTCAGCCTGGTCTTTTTCACGAAAGAAAAAGAGAAAGAGAGACAGAGAGAGAGAGAGAGAGAGAGAGAGAGAGAGAGAGAGAGAGAGAGAGAGAGAGAAGAGAGAGAGAGAGGAGAGATCAAAATCTGATTCTGTTCCTTTAGCTGGGTCTTTGTGTATTGTTTTTTGTTTCCTTTTTTTATATCTCTACTAGGTTCCTAGAAAATTCCAGTGTACATACTTGGTGGCATTTCTGTGTATTGCTTTCCCACAGTCTAGCCTTGGGAAATAATAAGAATAAAAAGATATTGCTGGGGCCTGGAGAGATGGTTCAGAGGTTAAGAGCACTGACTGCTCTTCCATAGGTCCTGAGTTCAATTCCCAGCAACCACATGGTGGATCACAACTATCTGTTAAGAGACCTGGTGCCCTCTTCTAGTGTGCAGATATACATGGAAGCAGAATGTTGTATACGTAATAAATAAATAAAATCTTTTAAAAAAAGATATTGCTAGCATAGTACAAAGTAAAGATTATTCCAGAGTATAGCCATTAAAGGGTAAGGTGAATGGCAGCAGCATAGAATGGATGCTAAGGTTCATCAAAGAGTGAGGACAGGGGAGTGGCTGGGAGGTTTCTGGATATTCTGTGTAAGCACTGAGTTCTTTTTGTGACGAGATTGGGTAATGAACATGGTGGCATATACTTAGCAGAGCTCATTTTCTACATCTACCCACTGAAGAAGGTGAATCAAGAGCAATTTAAAATTGAAGGCTTTGACACTTGAATTATACCCTCATTAAAGTTTGGATTTGTTCATGTATGGTTACATACACACAAAAAGTATGTATGCCTTTTTGAATGAAAAAAAAGGGGGGAGAAGGAAAGACATGACTACACCTGGGTATGGTGGAGGAGAAAGCTTATGATAGATATGTGGGAGAGTATAGGCAGAAACAGGGACATCTGGGAAAGTTCAAAGTGAACACAGCCAAATTGAGCTGTGCCATGTGAGAAGAGGGGGGAGAAGGAGGCGGGGGATGGGGGGGAGAGAACAGGTGCAGCAGCCAAGAGACCCAAAGAGAGTAGACTAAAAGACCAAGTAACCAAAATGGTTGGATTATATAGGGAAGGGCATCTTGAGGAGGGGCAGTCCAGCCCCTGGGCTGGAGAATTTAGGGTAGAGACAGGCAGAGTATGCCAGCCAGGAAGGCCCTGTAACAGGTAGACACTGAAGGTTGCAGGGAGAACCTGGAGAACAGGTTCACTTTGATAAATTAAGTAGACACTGCAACCATTTGTCCTGTGTATGAAACCTCATACTTTGTTGTTGTTGTTGTTTGGTTTTGGTTTTCTTGGTTGGTTGGTTGAATTTGGATTTGTTTTCATGTGTTTTGAGACAGGGCCTCACTATATAGCTCTAGCTGTCCTGGAACTCTCACTATGTAGTCCAAGCTGGCCTCCAACACACAGAGATCCACCTACATCTGCCTCCCAAGTGCTGGGATTAAAGGTGTGTGCCACCATGCTGGATTTCTGTGTGCTTTTAACTAGTAGATACTGTCCTGTTCCACCAGGACCAACCACTACAATTAATGACTTAGCTTTCAGAATGAGTACCTTCTACCGAGATTTTCAGAATCTTAAAACATGCTTTAGGTTTATTTTAATTGCTTGTTTTAAAGTTTATCTGACTTTTATCTTATTTATTTATGCATTTTATTTATGTGTGAGCAAGCGACAGAGTTTGTGCAGAGGTCAGGGGATAACTTGCAGGTGTCAGTTCTCTTCTTCCACAATGTAGTTTAAGGAGATAATCGTGTCGTATTTGGTAGCAAGTACCACCCACTGAGCTGTCTTGTTGACATTGACTTTTATTTTTTATATAGCCTTATAAAGTCTTTTAATCTAACGCTTTGGTGCTAGTATCTAATGTTCATTGAGTATCTCTCCCTCATACCTGCTATCATCACTTCTCTTGACCATCCCCTTCCGCTTTGTCTTCCTTAGTCTACTGCTGTCATTTTATACATAAACATATGCCCAATTTTATTTCTTTGTGTAAAATCCAGGCACCACAAAGGGTGAGCGAGAGAAAAAATACAGTATTTGTTTTTCTGAGATGGCCTAATTTGCTTAACGTGATGATCTCCAGATGCACTCCTGACCTGCAAATGGCATGACTTCCTCCTGTAAGACTGAACATGTTTGCTAGAAAGGGAAGCTCTCTAGAGTGCTTGCCTCACCCACTCCTCTGTTGCTGGGCTCCTGCCAGATTCTTTATTTAGCCAATGTGAGTGGTGGACAAGCAAGTGTCCCAGTGAGTTATGGACCTGGAGGCCTTCAGGTAAATGTCTGTCCACGTTTGATTCAACAGGAAGCTATATATAACTCAACAAAGCACACTTAAGATGTTTTTATTGTTTGGTTGATTATAACAGGGTTTGTCAGGTACATGTATATACATAATTATAATTTCATCCCAACAATGCTCAGAAGTTCCCTCAGTTCCATTTGTAGTCACTAGTGGCACACTTCCCTTAGCCACTGATATATCTCCTATTGGCTCCCTCAGGTAAGAGAAGCTTATCTACAGGAATAATCTGGAGACTTATAATTCAATACCATTTTTCACTAAAATTAATGGGGATGGAAGTAGCTGGAAGTGAAGTATTATTTAAATTGATAAATGACCTTATGAGGATATTGCCATTTAACTTACATTTTTTTAAATAAGTCTAATCAGAAATGATGTCATCTTATGTCATATGGGATTTACTGGCTTGTCAGTAAGGACATAATAGGCCTCCATGCCCTTTAGATGCTTTGGGGTTTTATTCTTTTATTCAGCCACATGTTATCCAAAGAATGCAACTGACCCTCAGTGCATAGCCCTAGAATGACCGCAAGAACCTCAGAAAAGAGAAGACAGACAGCACCTTCTCCATCATCCCTCCTGGGTGGCTTCCAAGACCCTACAGACACTAAGCTCCACAGATTCCAAATCCCTGTAGGAATGTTCTATATTTGACTATAACCTCTTTATAGCCTCTCATATACCTCACATCACTTCTGGATGACTTACCAATAGTTAATACAGTGTAGATGCTGTATAAGAATAATACAGAACAAGCTGGGCGGTGGAGGTACAAGCCTTTAATCCCAGCACTCAGAAGGCAGAGGCAGAGGCAGGCAGATCTCTGTGAGTTCGAGACCAGCCTGGTCTACAAGAACTAGTTCCAGGACAGCCTCCAAAGCCACAGAGAAACCCTGTCTCGAAAAAACAAAACAAAAACAAAAAAACAAAAAAAAATAATACAGAACAAATGCTATAAAAAGATGCTGTATTGTTTAGGGAATAATGAAAAGAAAAAAGTCTGTTCATGTTCGGCTCATTTTTTTTCAACTGTTTTTGGTCTGTGGTTGGTTGAATCTGCAGGTGTGAAACCTGCAGGAACAGTGATCTTACTACATAGAAAACCTACTTGCCTATGGAACTAATATTCATGTGCAAATTATCTTATCAGGGTTGTTTGTATAGAAGTGCCATAATTATAAGAAAGTATTTTAGAAATCCAGATGAGAAAAAAGACACTTTGATTTTGAGAGCAAGGGAAGAGCAATCCTTTAAAGACTTGAAAAGCAGGACAGAGTAAAGCAAAGATGCAACAGGCCAGGGTGAGAAAAGATGGGGGTTGGTGAAGTGAGCAAGCCTGGTGCTTGACAGTAGGCATGGCTGGCTTCACAGGTGGTGTTAGGGAGCTGGTGATGAAAGCTGCCCTGGGGTTTACCATTCCAGGGAAGTGTTTGCATGACATATTCAGAAAGAGACACAGGGAAGATTGAACTGATCTGTGAAATGGAGGCTCGGTGGCACTCACAGGAGGAAAGGGGACATTTAAAGCTCAGAGAATCGGGAAGGCAAATAGAGATGTGTCGGTTGTCATAAGGAGAATAATGATAATTTTGCTTAAGATTAAGACATTCTTAAAAATACTGACAAAGTTTTTTTTTTTAATCCTAATAATTTCATGATGCTTAATGTTTGAAGCCCTATTTCACAGGAACTAAAAATGGAGTTCTTGTCAGGCCTGGTGGTACATGCCCTTAATCCCAGCAATCGAGAGGCAGAGGCAGGCAGATCTCTGTGAGTTCCAGGCCAACTTGGTGTAGAGAGTTCTGGGCTAGCAAGGACTACACAGTGAGACCCTGTCTCAAAACAAAACAAAATTAAAAATTGAGCTGTTGGTGCCATGCACAAGTCAGCCCAAGCATGTATATTTTCACTAATATCTTTCTTTGTTCTCTAAGATGATCTTGCCATTGTTGACTAAGAAGTAAGCTGATCTACAATTTTTGACATGACAAAATAAAGGAATGGGTCTAGACAACTATTCAGGCTACCCAGGCATAAAGCTATGAGATACATAAAATACAAGCTATCAGTGTTGTAGTAGTAGTAGTTTGCATGGTGAATTACGAGTATAATGTTGGTAGGAGCAAAGCAAATTGTAAAAATCACAAGGATGAGGAGAACTGCCTTGATATACCTCAGCCATTTACGATCCTGTGCATTAAGTTTACGGATGAGAGTTGTATAACAGTAGACAATGACCACAAATGGAATGAGGAATCCAAAGAATGCTAAGGAGATGAAGTAGTAGAATTGGAAGGAAGATGGAGATTCGCATGTGTTGTGGACGTCATGGCAGGTGGTGATCTCTGGCTGGACAAGATGATACTCCTGATTCAGAATGGCAAATGGCAACATATATAAAAAAACCATTACCCACACCAGGCCACACATGAGCAAAGTGAAGCTGCGTTTGGGCAGCTTCCGGTATGTGAAGGGATGGACAGTGGCCAGGTAGCGGTTAATGCCCATGCAGGTGAGGATCAGAATGGAACAGTACATGTTGCCGTAGAAAATAACTGTAGTGATCCGGCACATGACCTCTCCAAATATCCAGTTGTTCCCATTGAGATGGTAGGCAATCTTAAATGGCAGTGTAACACAGAAAAGGAGATCTGCGATGGCCAGGTTGGTGTGAAAGATGACCAGACAGATGGATTTGGTCCTTGAGGAGAGTTTCCACAGGGTCACAATGTTTGCTGGTACACCAACCACAAACACCAGGATGTAGATGGCAGGTATCAGTTTGGTACTTAAGGAACTTCTCAGGTATCCCATGGTGGCATTATTCACATGGAGAGTTGAAATGCTTCCTTCAGGGCATTTCATTTTTACAGTTGTGGTGGCTCCTGTCCAGCCCTCTATGTCAGAAAGTGGGAAGTCTTCAAAAGTATTTGATGGAGCTCCATTGAAGGTCTTAACAGTTAAGGTTGGCTTTGCAGAGTTCTCTGAAACATTTTTCATACCTGTAATTGAGAGGAAATATTAGCATATGATTTGTTACCAAGTCCTACCTGTGATTTGGATAAAAATAAAATACAATGTTTGATGCTGCATGATTTCTATAGTTATAGAACTTGGGGTCATTTTTTTTAAATCACTATAGATGCAACTAGATGACAATCACCTACATGTTAGGATTTTATAATAGTGCTAGATCAGTGGTTCTCAACCTGTAGGTCATGAGCCCTCTGGTAAACCTCTTATCTCCAAAAATATTTACAATTCATAACATTAGCAAAATTACAGTTATGCAGTACCAATGGAAATAATCTTATGGTTGGGGGTTACCACAACACAAGTAACTGTATTAGAGTGTCACAGCATTAGGAAGGTTGAGGACCACTGTCTTAGAGGAAACAAAACAGCACAATGGAACAGTATAGAAAAATGTTTTATTGCCTACAAGCTATATGTATGTAACTATGTATGTATGTATGTATGTATGTGTGTGTGTGTGTGTGTGTGTGTGTGTGTGTGTGTGTGTATGTATGTATGTATGTATTCAGGAAACAGTTAGCCAAGTTGAGTATTCAAGCAAACTGTCACTGAAAAGATAAGCTTGAACAAAGATGAGCAAGCTACAGAGATAGAACTTAATACACAAGGTAGATTCTCATGTTGATGGCTGGGCATGGAATCTGGGAATGGCCAGTCAGTTGATTCTGAAAATGTCAATTGCATACTTAAATGGCAGTTAAACTCTACTGCCATCTACAAGCAATTCTTAGATCAGAGGAGAAGATGCGTGGACAGATACTGTCTTGTGCTAATTTGATACATCCAAGAGAAAACAAATTTGAAAAATTAAGTCACACAATTAATTCCCAAAAGGACCTTAAACTGTCCTCTGGAGCCATGATCTATTCGTACATTCTGGGGTTGCATACAAATGTCTTTTCCCCCTTTGTTGGCAATTGAACCCAGGGCTTTTCAGTGCTAGGCAGTTGTTCTACCACAGGCCCACGCCTCCACCTCTGCACACAGAGTTTGAAGAGGAATGACTACTATGGTAGATAGGATAACATTCCACCCAACCCACGACTCCACCTGCTTGCTCCTGGAACCTATGATACCTCACATGGACAAGGGGTTATTTAGTTATCAGGGAGATGGGGGCAGAGCCCTAGATTGGCCATGTGGTCTAAATGCAATTTTACAAGTCCTTATACATGTAAGGCAAGAGGCTCAGAGTCAGGCTTAAAATGATATGCTATTGACATTGAGGATGAAAAAGTATCCAGGAGCCAAGGAGCATGAAGGGAAGAACATAGTCTCTCCTGTAGCATCCAGGATGAACATAGGCCTAGCAACATGTTGATTTTTAAGAATTTTGACCTTTGGAGGCATCATATGATGAACCTGTGTTATCTGAAGCAGCCAATATAAGCATGTTTTTGACCAGTGTTTAAAATGGGTTTGGTGACAGAAGAGTGTGAAGTTAAGAAAGTAGGGACAGGAAACCTACTGTGGGGGCTGCTGTCCAAACTGCTCAGAATCTAAGGGTGGTCAGTGAACTAGAGCCACTGTTGTAGGTCGTAGAGAGGTGCAGATGGGAACATAAGGGACATCTCATCTGATTGGTTGTAGAGGAGGATCTGCAAGCAACATAACTTAACATAGAGGTTTCCATTCTGAATGGCTTGGAGGAAAAGGATGCTGTTTAGAACTGGGATTGGGAAGAGTGAAAGGGATAAAGTGGGAAAGGAATTCAGCTCTCAGGTTTATAGGAGGTTTGTTTGTTTGTTTGTTTGTTTGGCTTGTTGAAACAGGATCTCACTATAACCCAGGCTGGCCTTGTCTTCCTGCCTTGGTTCCCTGAGTACCAGGATTCCAAGTGTGTGCCACCACACCTAGCTAAAATCTTAGGTTGTGGTATGACCAAGCTGGAACAGCTGGTGGAGTGTTAGTCTGTAAAATGTTGTTGGGCAGGCAGTTCAAAAGCTGGATGCCACATGCCCAAAGGCCAAGAGCAAATGTGAGATGTGAATGCCTTAGTCTTCACAGAGTCTGTAGTTTAAATTAGGAGAGTGGAGAGATGGCCTAGGGAGGGATACAGGAAGAAGGAATGCAAAGACTTAGGAGAAATGCCAGGTTTTAAGAGGAGACAAGACAGAGAAAAATCAAAATGTGAAATTACTCTGATGACCTGGGGGGTTAAAGTGAACTTTTAAAATGAAAGAAACATATCAACTGTGTGTAATAGATACTTGGCATGACTCAGCATGTTCATGTAATAACCAGTTCCTTAAATGCCAGTTTAAACCTCATATATTTCAATCTGAAATGCTAGTACCCCAACAATGAGGTCCTGGCACAAAACCCCTGAATCCTCTATTTTCAATATTCATGGATGATGTTCAATGAACTGTCCTCATTTGAAGCCAGGGTCTCTCCCAAACTTAATCTCTGGCCTTTGCTCCCAGGTATAAATTCCTTCAGACCTCAGAGTTTGCACAGGCTGAATTCATTGTATCAGGTGGAATCAGTATGTCAGAGCAACTGCATATGAATGACCCGGTGTCATTTAAGGAAAGAATCATTTGGAAGGTAGCATTCTGTTTGTCTGTGAAGATGTGAGCATTAGAGTAATGTCCTGTGACATTTGAACTCAGTCACTCAAATCCTTCTGTACATTTGCATTTGGGAAAAAGTCAAGTCATCACCCTCAACAAGTGCTTTAGCAAGTTGGGTGGAGTGATGTGTACAAATTTCTTCCCAAGGTCTGGTGAGAAACCTGATGAAACCACATGCTAGTGAGTTTGCATGAATCCTGTGATTGAGCAAGGCATGGTGTTGATAGACAGAGAGACTATTTTCATGAGATCTCAGGTTTGCCCCCACCTAGTCCTTCTGATAGTCAGAATAGTTCTCCTTGTTAAGTTTTGTTCATACTAGAAAAAAGACTGGGATTTTTTGGGTTTTGTTTGGTGTGGTGTTTCTGAAATGCTCTTAGTTTGGGAGAAGGCTTCAGAGTAATCCAGAGAGAATGAGCCTCTGCTTTCCTGATGAAGGATGTTCCCATCATACCTCCCCATGGGAGTGGGTGAATGAATCCACTGCCTCATCTCCTTTAAAGCCCTCACTTTTCACTCCTCCCAAGCATGACTGGCATCAGGAACCCTCTTGTACACATTTCCTTGTCACTGTGGCTCAGCTTTTTGAGTTATCCTCTCAAAGAAACCATAGACCTGTCCAAACCCTGCTTGGACAGCCCCTGCCATGGGGATCTCCTTAAGTGCTCTGCAGGAACCTCACTTAAGGCTCATTCCTTTGCAGAGGGTGGCTTTCTGTTTAATTTTAGTTTCATCCCATCTCTCCCTCATAACCCTGTTGATTGCCCTGTGACCTGACAGTGAGAGAAAACCCTGGATACAGTCCTGTCTCAAAGTAGTTCATTTCAGAGCAAGCAGAAGGTTACAAGCTACCACGTTGTGATAGGTAAAACAATTTCAAGGTGAAATAATTATATTTGGGAGATCTTATTTCTAAAATTCTGCATAACTAAATTATACATACTCATACCATATACATATATATACTTGTACACACACACACACACACACACACACACACACACACACACACGGGATGAGGAGAACTCCCTGGTACTGAAAGCTTAAGGAAAAAAAAAGGTATTTAATACTGTTAACATCACTGGCTGCTGAAACCAAATGACCCTTGGTGGCAGTATTTTTCCCTACCTGTGCCTCAACAGAAATTATAAAATTTATATATAAATTTTAATACCTTGGAAGAAAAATGCAATCTTTTCTAAATCAGGAAATTTTACAAATAAGAAAATTACCTTTTGACTTAATTGTAGATAAAGTCTTGACTCTGCCACAAATGTGTAACTACAGTAGAGAACAATTGATCTTTAACAAGGTTTGACTTGGCAACAAACTTTAGCTACCTCCATGATTCCCTTTGAATAACCCAGGTCAAACTCTGCCTTGGGGTTCACAATTCTTGGGACAACAAGAAGAGTAGGTTTGTTTGACTCCTACAGCATAAAAGGACCCTTCTCCCATCCCCATCCCCATTCCCATCCTATTCCAGAAGAGGACTTACCACTCTGGCAAAAAGTGGCTGGCAGAAGCAGCAGCCTAGTAGCAATCAAGATAAGGACCTTCATCCCGATATCCTGAGACCCAGTTACAAAACGTTATCCAGTGTACAAAGTCACAGAGCAGATTTCCCTCTGCTCCATGTATTGGCAGCCAGTGGGAGCCTGAGGAATGTCCACCCTGCAATGTGTAGGCAGGGACTTGTCCTGCCTCTGCTGGGAAAGGATGTGGCCACTTGATGTTTCCGTGTATGAGTGACTCAGACTGAGTCTCTATGGAGCTTGTTGCCATTTCCCTTTAACTCTTCCTCACCCCCTACCGTTATTTCATTTAGAACCAAGGCTGTATTTCTCCCCAGGGCATTTAAATAATGGCTGAGACTGCTGAATCCTTTTGCAAAACAAAGCCGAGAACAGACACAGAGCATCAATTAGCTTTGGATTCATTCCACAGCTCAATTTTTTCCCCATTTTGAAAACATACTTCCAGAGTTACACTTTCTATTTAATACATGAATAGTTAGAAATTATTTATCAGTGCCTCGCTCAGCCATTGTCAGAGAGGCTTCTTCTTACAGTAGATGGGAACTAACACAGAGACCCACAATTGGACAACGTTCAGAGAGTGAGGTTTTGGAGCACTTAGTCCTAAATAGGATGTTGTCATCAAACCTCTTTTCTTAAGGCTTGGGGGACTGATACAGAAGAAGCAAAAAGATTGTAAGACCCGAAAGGGATGGGTGACTCCAAGGAAACTATCTTCCAGATAAAAAAGGACTGATGCCCATGTGAACCTCAAGGCTTGCACAGGTTCAAGCCAGACAGGGTCGCAGAGCTCAGGGGGGATGTGTACATAGGCTCCCACCACTGACCAAGAAGCTATCTGCAACTGATTCCTACAGGCAAAAGAAAAATTAGTTCCATCCGATGGAATCTCCCAGGGTAGTATATTAACTGCATGTCAAGGTAGGCCCCATGCCCAGGAGTTATTGGCTAACACAAAGAGAAGTTGACAGTGGTTTTGTAGACTTTTTTTTTTCTTTTTTTTTCTTTTTTTCTTTTTTTTTTTTTTTTTTTTTTTTTTTTTTTTTTTTTTTTTTTTGTCGCCTTGGTCTTCTGCTTATATATTTTGGTTTCCATTTTTTGTGTTTTGTGGGTTTTGTTGTGTTTCTTATTTTCTGTTTATTTCAATATAGAAACAGCATGGAGCTGAGGAGGTGGGAAGGATCTGGGAGGTGTTGAGGGGAAGGGAAAATGTCATCAGAATATAATGGAAAATTTTTTTTGTAAAAATCAAAATGAAATTGTACTTTTTTTTATTGTTTCAAAATTTAGTTCCTAGACTGATCACATAAATTAATCATGAAAAGCAAACACCCCCTTCCATTTTTTTTTTCCTTTGAGACAGGGTTTTGTATAGTCTAGGCTAGCCTTTAACTCAAGATGTAGCTGAAAATTGACTTAAGCTTCCAGGCCTCGTCCTTTGGCTTCTGGGTTGCTAGGATCCCAGGTATGCATTATCACGCCTGGGTTTTGTGGTGCTGGTGGTGCTGACCCCAGCGCTTCATACATGCTAGGCAAGTATTTAAGATGTTAACCCTGTAACAGAGGTATTAGATTGTTTCTAAACTTCTCTGTTCAACCAAGTGTCATAGTGTGTATTTATAATCCCAGCACTTGACAGACTGCAGCAAGAAGACTGCAGTGAGTTGAAAGCCAGCCTTGGCTACATTATGAGTTTGAGCCCAGCCTCCGGAGCATAGTGAGACTCTGCCTCAGAGGGGAAGAAGATTCTCTGCATACCGTGGTGGTTGTCCAGAACTTAGTTTTGTTGTTTCTGAGAGGAAGGTGCATTTGCCGTAGATCAATGTGTTCTAAGCCATTTAATAACAGATTACAGTACAGACTCATGCCAAACAACTCTATTTGAACTGAACTAAAATATTTCTGAAGCATTAACAACTAAAAGCATCATAAAATATGGAAGTACAAGGACTTGATTTATTCCATTAATCTTGATGAAGAGGTCTATATAATAAGCATTTCAAATCATATTAATTATGCATATCCAATATTTGATAATGTATATATTAATTAATTGTATAATTAAATTGTATGCATATTTATATGTGTATATTTATATCTTAGCCATCATAATATTCACTAGTGTTAAATATATTTAATATACCATAAAAAAGAAAACTTGATGCTAATATGTTTGCCTTAATGAACAATATATGATTAAATTCCAAGTCAGACAACTCAGCCTCTAAAATGAAGCAAGAGTCACATGAGACTTAAAGGCAAAGGGAAGGAGTTAACCAGGAAGCAATAGAGAGATTAATATTAACTTTTATCATCTTGATTAAATTTAATCAAACCAAATCATTTCCAAAGGTCAGATTATCACTTCAACTTCATAATCTATGGTACCATAAACTAAGGTAGAATGTTCTAATCCTGTAGCAGCAGTAAGCATAGAAAATTGGAAAGGGTAGACATTTTGTTTTAAACTTTCTTGGCATCAGCTGAGTCCAGCAGTTATGGTTTGATTTTCATGAGGCCTGGTTGTGGGTCATTTCATCCCCTCTTAACTCCCGTGCATAGCCTGGCAGTTTGGCTAGGTGAAGGCCTAGCCATCACAGAGCTATTCCCAGTCTGCTAAGTGACCAAAAGGGAGACTTCACATCTGTACATTTTTGTTTTCACTTTTGGTTTTGTGTTTATTTCAATACATCATGGTCTTGAAACTGTTGACTTAAATTTGTTTGGTTTTGCAAAGTCTGACTTCAGTTTGCCTTCTGAGACTAAGACTTTAATCTCCAATGCAGAACAGTCGCCATCTTTTCTTATCCAGGCAAGAGTGTGTGTGGTCCCTCTCCTACAGTGACGTCACATGTTCTTCATAAGAAGACAGTTGAGATGGGAGGAACTTGTGTAGTATTTGATTTTTAAACTATTCCTGGGGAGGGTGTGGTCTCTTTGGGTTTAAAAACAGGAAAAAATAATAATCCTAGGGATAGTGAGAAGGCACAGAGGGTAAAGGCACTTGCTTGTTACTTAAGCCAGGTGACCTGGGTTCAACCCTTGAAACTCAATTAAAGATGGAAAGAGAGAACCAACTCCACAAAATTGTCCAATGACCCCACACACATGTGCCATGGCACATTTCCTCCCCCCCACACACACACACACTATGCAAATAACTTTTAAATCCTGCTTTCCTGTCTCCTTTTCTTCAAGCCTCTTAGTCTTTACATTTTCGCTTGAACCTCTTCCAAAGTTTCATTTCCTAAGAAATTACTAAGCTTCTTGGTGATGGTTCCCACATGGCAGCTGTATCTGGAGATGACTCAGGAAACAAGCCCCATGAATTTTCTATCGAGTTGTCTTGTCCCCCCCCCCCCAGTAATGCATCAGGAAGCAGCATGTGTCTGGTTTGGAGCTCTCACCACACACAGTATCTCCCATAGCTCCTGAGGGAAGCTAGTGAAAGTCATTCCTCCCTCCAGACTCGGTACACTTCCTGACCTAGTGATGAAGCATACCCTAAAGGACTCCAATGCCAGAGTTGATTCTTTCCATGTACCACAGCTATGTGTGGGTGTGTGAGCATGTACATGTGTGTTCATAGGTGTGGGTACATATGGAAGGGGTGCATATGTGCTCATAGGTATGTGTGCATGGGCATGCAAATCTATATGAAGGTTACCAGACAACCTCAGGTATCATTTTTTGGATGCTGTCCACCTTGCTTTTTTGAGGCAGGGTCTCTCACTGGCCTGAAACTTGACATTTCAGTGAGGCTGACTGGCCAGTGAGCCCTAGGCATCCTCCTGTCTCTACCACTCCTAACTTCATTTTGTTTGTTTGTTTGTTTGTTTGTTGTTTTTTGTTTTTTTTTAATGGGTTCCAGGGAATCAAACTCGGGTCCTTGTGCTTGCCAGCTGAGCTGTCTCCACAGCATCTCCCAGGCATCTGGATTCCAGGTTTAGAACACAACACTTATCCCTGCATAAATAAATGAGCATTCACATTTTAACAATGGAATTCCAGAGGCTGGAGTGATGGCTCAGCCCTTACAAGTACACACTGATCTTACAGAAGTCCTGAGTTCAGTTCACAGCATGCATATCAGGTAGCTCACAACTGCCTGTATCCAGGTCCAGGATGCCCTCTCTGGATTCTGAGGACAATTGCACCCATGTGCACATACATAAGACACTACACATATACACATAACTAGAAATAAAGTAAATCTTTTCAAAAGGGAAACTCACACACAGTTGTGAACTGCCATGTGGATGCTGGGAATTGAACCTGGGTCCTTTGTCACTTCCTTCTGAAGCCATGGTTAACTATTTAGTTTTTTCTCCTTCTCCCCTCCTTCTCATTGCGGCTAATATTACCTTGAGTGCAGTATATTCTGATGCAGTACATTCTCCAAGAGATTCTTTGCTCCTTCAGACCAGTTACTGTATCTTAGTGTCTGTTTTTGTCTAGGTGTCTAACAAACATTGGGTATCACTGCTTCTCTCCAATTTAAAACAGCTCCTGGCACCCTGGGACAACTTGGTACTTAGTTTGCCAACCACGGCTCCTGAATGCTTAACTGCATAGCCATGGATGGCTTTTTAGTAGAGGTGGCATTTGAGTTGAGTTATGAGACATGGCAGTAGCCAGCTACAGTAGAGTGCTGCGGCCTGAAGGAGGGTGCTGTGAGGTCCAAGAACAGGAAATGAGATGCACAATCAGGCAAGGTCCCATCACTGGACCTAGATCCACAGTCCTGAGAAGAGAGCTTGCATTTCTTTCTAAGGTTAAATGGGAAAGATGTAATGAGACATCCATTTTAAAATGATTGGGAGTTCTCACTAGAGAACTACTATGGTACAGACCAAATTGAAAGGAATGAAGCCACATGAGACAGCAGCACAACTGTCCATCTAGGGCAGAGGTTCTAACCTTGCTGATGCTGCAACCCTTTAATACATTGTCCATGCTGTGGTGACCCCAAACCATCAAATTATTCCATTGCTATTTCATAATTATAATTTTGCTGCCATTATGAATCATAATGTAAATATCTGATATGCAGGATACCTGATATGTAACCACAAAGGGTTCACAACCCACAGGTTGAGAACCACTGATCTCAGGGAGGGTATGGCCTACTTGGCACAGGCTTGTGCTGCATGGTGGTGCTACTGGTGCTTTCTGAATAAGAACTAGGA